AATAATACATCAACCTTTAGTCAAAATATCAAATGGCTTGGCACGGAACGTGTTAAGCGAAGTGTCAGTTCAAACATTAAAATGATATATGACGTGTGACATCGTTTAAATTTGAAGCAATCGTCAACGTGCATTACGGCTTTGCTAGAACAAGTATAATAGTTTCAATCTCTGGAGGAATGATATCCTCCGCCATTTTTCAAACTTTCGTAAGAAGTCTAGTCCATGTGAAGTATCGAGTGTCAATTGACTCAGAAATTTCATCTTTCTGAAATTCTTTTCTTCTTCTTACGTCGTTGTTACAGCTTTCACTGTAAAGCGTCTGTTCGGGTATATTATACTGTTATATATCGCGTCGTACGAAACCAAATGTACACGTTCTAACGATTAACGATCGAAATTACAAAAGTATTTTTCAATTTTTCAAATTGATTATCATGATTATTTCTTTTGTTAAATACAACAGGCTTTATTACATTAAAATAATAGGAAACATAGAAGATAAAAGTGATTATTTTAGATTATTTTGTACGGAGGGAAATTCTCGTACAGCGCACGATTTCCTGTAACGCGATTTTCTACATGTAACAGAACTCTTTCGAATATTTGCAACTGAACAGCAAGTACGAACCGGACGGTGAATCGACAGAGTTTATTATTCACAGTTATTATTATTTACAAATGTTCACATACGCGTACGTATGCTTCAGCTCGACTCGTCGTAGATATTATTTATGCATTTCTCTCGTTTCTGACCTTCCACAACTCCAGAGAATTACGGAATATTCTTGACCATATGTTTGAATTCGCTTTCGTATGACAAAGAAAATAGTATTCTAGATGATCACCCTAATTTCGTGAAAAATATTGTTTTTTTTTTTCAATTTTTTCCTCTCGTTTTCCCGAGAAAAGAATCGATATATCGTATCACTTCCACTTGTGTATCCGTCTCCGATAAAATAATACGAAACTCTCTCCTTTATCTACTTTCTACGTTTTCCAATGCGGGAGAACCTTTCATCTTTCGGGACTCCTCGCAACATTCCACGAAATTCCAAAGTTTCTCGCTTTGCCCGGCAAATGGTTTTCGCGGCCGGATGCAAATCACGACGCGATAATTCGCTAATAGGCCGCGCGGGTCGCATGCAAAAATCGAGCGGGACCGAGCCGGGAGGTTAGCCGATGCGCTGCGTTTTCTCCGTCGCTCTCGAAACTACGAAATGCAAATTCATCTGGAACAACGGTGGGGGCGAACGGTTCGCGGTTATGCGATCGCGCGCAATTTATACTAATACGAACGTGCGCGATCGTGCACGCCGTGGCAAATTACACCGCGCGCAGCAACGGCGCAACGCTGGCGTAAGTGCGTTATTAATGCAAACTCCGCGATATTATCCGACTTTTCGAGTATCGGCCATTAGTTCTCGTTTCCTGGCCCGTCGTCCTGTTCCTTACTCGTTCGTCGGCCATTTTTGCCTCGTAAATCCTCATCAGCCGGGCCGGACACGGTAAAAGCGAATTTCGTGCTCTCTCTCTCTCTCTCTCTTTATAAATCACCAATTCCATCTGATTACGCTTCCGACGACGGATATAATACCGTGCCTGTTCATTCTCTCGACATTTGGAATATTTACGCGACCGAGTGTCGCGCGTTGCGTTGAAAAATTTCCTAGCTTCGAAGCTGTCGATAGAAAGAAAGAAAAAAAAACAAA